GGGAGCCCGATGTGGGGCTTGATCCCAGGACCCTGGGATCATGACCTGAGCCGAAGGCAGACGCTTAACGACTGAGCCACCCAGGTGCCCAGAGAAGTGAAATCTTGCCATTCATGACAACATGGATGGACCTACAGGATATTATGCTAAGTGATATAAGTCAAAGGCAAATACCTTATGATTTCACTCACATGTGGAATCTAAAAACAAAACAAGCAAATAAACAAAGAAACAGACCCCTAAATATAGAACTGGGGGTGGCCAAAGGGGAGGGTAGTGGCAGGGTGCATGCAACTCTTGATCTTAGGATTGTGAGTTCAAGCCCCATGATGGGCATAGAGATTACTTAAAAAAAAAATAAAAATAGTAAAGATCAATAAAAATTTTAAAAAGATAAAAACTGGGACGCCTAGGTGGCTCAGTTGGTTAAGCATCTGCCTTCCAGTTGGGTCATGATCCCAGGGTTGTAGGATCGAATTCTGCACTGGGCTCCCTGCTCAATGGGGAGCCTGCTTCTCCCCCTGCCTGCTGCTCCCCCTGCTTATGCTCTCTCTCTCTGACAAATAAATAAATAAAATCTTTAAAAAAAAAAAAAGATAAAAACTAACTCATGGGGATAAAAAAGTACAGAGCAAAAAAAAAAGTTGGGCAATTACAGAATGATATATGCCAATTATATCTCAAAGCTAGGGGGAAAAGTTTGGCATTAATTGATCTACAAGAGGCTTAAACCAGGATATATGGTCATGCTAACTAGAACTCCAGTACTTAGGAAAATGATTGCTGCATCCTAAGTACATTCTACCTACTGATTTAATAAATGAATTCGAGATGGAATATTCACTTTATCACCTCCTCTTCACTCTTTTACTGCAAACTTATTTTCAGCCACAAACACTGTCTTGAAAGGGGCAAACAATAACCTCCTAACTACCAACTCCGAAAAAGGTCCAAAAAGCTTCAGTTTTGAATTAACCTCTCTAAACAGCTTTCAACAATACTATCCCCTCCTCCGTCCTTGATGAAGCTCTGTTAACAATGAGATAAACATAATCCTAACCATCAGACTATTTTAAAACAACGCCTAGGATTTCTACCTTTCTAACAGAGATTAACTAAAAGATTTAGAATCTAGGGGTGCCTGGCTTACTCAGTCAAAAGAGCATTCAATTCTTGATCTCAAGGTCATGAGTTCAAACCCCATGTTGGGAGTAGAGATTACCTAAAAATAAAATCTTAAAAAAAAAAAGATTTAGAACCTAACTAATATTCCCTTCCTTCTATTTTTCAACTTCTGGAAAATGAACGTAAGTAAAGATACAAAATTGGATACTTACCTCAAAATGATAGCCCCCATTTCAGTCTTTTAAGATATCAGATGATGACATTACTTATTTTTTTAAACTGAAGTTTTCGTGGAAGACTTTCAAATTAAAAGACACACTACAAAAAAGGGTGAAGATAAAAGGTATTAACACCTAAATGAACTAAATTAAAAATAAATTTATTACTTGTATGACATGACTGTTTATAACTATTTTTAAATATGGGGAAAAATATAAGAAACATATGAACTACAATATTAAAATTGTAGAGCATTAGAATAAGAAGGGAACTAAGTAGACACCCTATACAACTACCTAAATCCTCTCATTCAGATCACCTTTTTGAAACCTCTTTTCTGTAACATGCTAATTTTTTTTCAACTTCTCAACCTATTCCTCTATCTACATCATAAGCTACTAACTATGGATAGCTTATTTCATCTTCCCCCCTTCTCTAGTATTTGAAACACACACAATATATGGAAAGATGCATGCAAGCAAACGTAAGATGAACACTATAAATCACCATCCCACAGAAGAACACCAATAACATTACATCTACCTACATGCTCCTCTCATCCCAACCTTTATCCTGAATAATTATTCCATTACTGTTTAAAACAGAACTTTGTCACACATGTATATATCCCTAAATAATGTTTTGTTTAGCTTTGTATCCCTGGCTCCCTTTTTCAGCTTGATAAATTCATATGCTGATGGAGTCTTCAGGGATGTGAATTTTGTCACTCAAATATTTTTCTAAGCTTTATTCATGTTACTTTTTAATTCTCTAGAGCGTTTCATTATGTAAATACGCCACAATGTATTTATTCTGTTTTCAAGCATTTAAGATGGTTTAAAGTTTTTTGCTTTTATCAACATTATTATACAAGTCTCCAGGTGCACATGAACAAGAATTTCTTTAGGGTATGCTTTTTTTTTTTTAGATTTTATTTATTTATTTGACAGAGAGAGACAGCAAGAGAGGGAACACAAGCAGGGAGAGTGGGAGAGGGAGAAGCAGGCTTCCCGCGGAGCAGGGAGCCCGATGCGGGGCTCGATCCCAGGACCCTGGGATCATGACCTGAGTAGAAGGCAGACGCTTAACGACTGAGCCACCCAGGCGCCCCATCTTTAGGGTATGCTTTAAACCTAGAAGTGGAATTGGTGGGTTATAGGACATGTAAATTCCCAACTTTACCAAAAATGCCAAACTGTCTTCCGATTATATCACTCTACCAACTCAGCAGCAGTATGTAAACTGATGACACAATCCTCTCCAATACCTGGTAAATTCAGATTTCTTAATTTGAGGCAATATAGAACTTATACCATGATTTCAGTCTGTATTACTTAATGAGGTTGAAGACCTTTTCACATGTTTATTAATATCTATGTTCCTTTCTGCATTCCTTTGTTCACAGTTTTGGCCATTTTTATTGGGTTGCGTTTTTCTCATTACTTACTAGGCTTTATAGTATGTAGCCACAACTGGCTACGTAATTTGGAGGCCCAGTGCAAAATTAAAAAGCAGGGCCATGGGGTGCCTGAGTGGCTCAGTGGGTTAAGCCTCTGACTTTGACTCAGGTTGTGATCCCAGGGTCCTGGAATCGAGCACCACATCAGGCTCAGGCTCTGTGCTGGGTGGAGCGTCTGCTTGTCTCTCCCCTCTCCTTCTGCCCCTCCCCTCTCATGCTCTGTCTCTCAAATAAATAAATAAAATTTTTAGTATCTTTTTTTTTAAGGTTTTATTTATTTATTTGAGGGAGGGAGACAGAGATGGCTAGAGAGAGCACAAGCGGGGAGGAGAGGGAAAAGCAGGCTCCGCAGAGCAGGGAGCCACACTCGGGGCTTGATTACAGAACCCTGGGATCATGACCTGAGCTGAAGGCAGGCGCTTAATTAACTGACTGAGCCACCCAGGCGCCCCTCTGGAGGGGATTTTAATTTTAATTAAAAATTCAGAAATTTTAATAATTTTAATTTTTTAGAAATTTTAATAAAAAATTCCAAGCATCTGGTTAGAACATTTTTACATTTAAAGATGTAAAAGAAGGGAGAAAAGACTTAATCTTCAAGTTTCATAAAATTAGTAAGAATTAAAGGAGAGCGTAATTGTTGCTATAAAGGTTGAAAATTTTTTTCATTTTGTATCTTCAAAGTAAAATTCTGTTAGAAAGGAAGTAATTTAATTCTCGCCTTGGTTTGTTTTTGTAATAAGGTCAATAATACTCTTTAAAATGAGAAGAATGTTATAAAACAGACTTTAGACAATGTTAAAATATATCAAACTGCTTACTTTTCCAAAAGTAAGGGAATCGGTCAATTGAAAATAACCACAATTTGTTGGTGCAGAATGTTGACAGTCGGGGAGGCTATGCATGTGGGGGCAGGGATATAAGAGAACTCTCTGTACTTCCTACTCAATTTATTGTGAACCTAAAACTGCCAAAAAATGATGTCTAGGGGGGAGTCTGCTTCTCCCTCTGCCCTTCCCCCTGCTGGCGCTCTTGCTCTCTCTCAAATAAATAAATAAAATCTTTAAAAAAAAATTTACTCTTAAAATTCCTACTAAAACTTTAGGTAAAAACAATGTTATTAATAACTTTACACATGAAGATCCACTCTCACAAAAAGGAAAAAATTCTGGACAAACAATAAACATCCAATAAACTTTAAAAAGATGTGGGTGAAGATTTCAAAAGCTTATCCAAGCACTGAGAATGGCATATAAACAAACAAAAACCCCTATACAGAGTCTATCTCTAGTCCTTGTTCAAGTAAAAATACTTTTCTACAAAAACAGAAACAAAAAAGATACTATGCCTCAATCATGCAAGTTACATTATAATTTAAGAGTTGGCTAAACTATTCTATTTAAGTAACAGTGATTTCAACCTCCCAATCTCCACCCACAAATAAGCAAGCAAAACCATGTAAATTCAAAACTCACTTCATGGTGTAAGTATTCATCTCTCTCCACTTCACCTTCTTCCTACTGAACTCAGAGTACTCCTCACATACTAGCACAAAGTCCTAGCCCTACATCAAAGGATAAAGTAATGTAATTTCTACATTTTTTTTTTTTTTACAAAATGCAATTAGAAGAGTCAAAAATATTCTTTAATACCTAGTACCCAGTGAAGAACCAGATTAAGATTGCTAGTGTAAGAGTGTTTGTCTGTTCTTCTTTCTTTTTGTTTAACAAATGGAGATTATATATTCAGGGTTTTTTAAAATAAAGTTTTCAAAAAACCAATATAGCCACAAGCATAGGGAAAAAATGGACACTCTCATTAGAGGATAAAAATAAAAATTAAAACCACAATAAGATATTTTGTAGCCACCAAAATAAGTAAAATTTAAAGAAATTAAGAATACCCAGGCTTGCTGAGAATGTGGAGCAATGGAAATTCACATACCCTATGACATAGGAATTCCAACCATAGATTATTCACCCAAAAGAACTATGTACACATTTCACCAAAAGATATTTACTAGAATGAGAAATAAAACTACAGAGACCCCATTTTCCACGTATCAGTTTAGCAAAAATCCCTGTTTGCCAAGGTACTTTCTAAAGATTTATTTATTTATTTTAGAGAGAGAGAGAGCTCTAGGGTGCATGCGGGGGGCGGGGGGAGAGGGAGGAGCAGAGGGACAGGGATAAAGAATTTCAAGCAGACTGCATGCGGAGCATGGAGCGCGACAGGGAGCTCAATCGGAGGACCCTGAGATCACCACCTGAGACGAAAACAAGAGTCCAAGAGTCCGACGCTCAACCAACTGCGCCACCCAGGCACTCTGCCGAGGTACTTTCTTGTCAAGGCTGTGAAGAAATGCCTATTATCAGGGTGCCTGGGTGGCTCAGTTGATTAAGCATCTGCCTTCAGCTCCGGTCTTGGTCGTGCTCATTCTCTCTCTCAAATAAACAAACAAAATCTTTAAAAAAAAAAAAAAAAAATGCCTATTATCCACCATAACAACAAAATGGTAATTATGTGAATTATGTGAAAGATGTAGTAACTAGCCTTACTGTGGTAAATATTTTGCTATATATACGTATGTCAAATCATCACATTGTACACCTTAAACTTACACAATGTTGTATGTCAATTAAATCCGAATAAGCTTGCAAGAAAGAAATACACATTAGTCCTTATAATCAGTGTGAGAGTCTGGGTCCAAACATGAGGGCATTATGGCACTACCTATCAAAATTACAAAGATATATGGCCTCTGATTAGTAACACCGCATCTGAATTGATTCCATAATTTTATACTTGCTTATGGACAAATGACATATACAAGGTAATTCACTACAACACTGTTATGATAATAAAAAACTGTAAACAACCCGGGGTGCCTGGGTGGCTCAGTCCGTTAAGCGACCAACTAGATTTCAGATCAGGTCATGATCTCAGGGTCGTGGGATGGAGCCCTGCATTGGGCTCCACACTCAAGAGTGCAGTCTGCTTATCCCTTTCCCTCTGCTCCTTGCCACCCTCCTCCCCACTCCGTGCTTGCACTTTCTTTCTCTCTCTCAAATAAATAAATGGAATCTTTAAAAAAAATTTTTTTAAAAACTAGAAACAACCCAAATGTCTACCAACAGAGAACTGGTTAAATAAAGTATCCAAAAGGAAACCATACAAACTAAAAAAAGAGGAAGAAGAAGAAAATAAAATAAAATAAAATTATACATACTCTATGGAAAATCTTCTGTGAAGATTTCCATTGTTAAGAAACACAATATGTAAAGGGAAGGATGGGAAGACCAATTTGCAGAATAGGGATAATATGCTGGCTTTGGTGGGTTTTGGACAGTGGAGATAGAAAGAAATAAGAATGTGTATTTTCATTTTCTTTATTTACATAAAGAAACTCTAGAAGAATACATAAATTAATAAAAAGTTTCCTGGGTGGGGTAAATGCGCTGGAGGAATGGGGTAAAAACAAGAACAGGATGACTGAGGCTAGGGGTGGGAAGGTTTACATTGTTTAACTTTTTTATGTTTATTTTAAATTTTTGCTTTGTTTTATTTATTTGAGAGAGAGCAAGAGAGAACAAGGGGGGGAGAGGCAGAGGGAGAAGCAGACTTCCTGCTGAGCAAGGAG